TATCTTTTTATATACATCTCTGGTCCCCAGTCCAATCCCTACAGTGTGTGTTTTCTTCTTTCTTATATATTTCTTTTCTTAAGTGAGTTTTGATAGTTTGTCTCTTTAAAAGATTTTGCTCATTTTCATCAAAGTTGTTGAATTTATGGACATAAAGTTATGCCTAATAATGCCTGGTTATCCATCTAATATCTGTAGAATCTGATGTCCTTTCTTCATTGCTGATATTGGTAATTTGTGTTTTCTCTCTGACTCCCTCCCAGATGAGTGTGGTAAGAGATTTATAAATTTTACTCACATCATCAAATAACCAGCTTTTGATTTTATTTTTGTTCTCTCTTGATTTTCTGTTTATTATCTTTATTAATCTCCTTTTCTTGTTTAGATTTAATTTGTTCTTATTTAACAAATTTGAACACTATAAATTTACTACATGATGCTACATTAGCTTTATTTCACACATTTTGATATGTTGTGTTTTCATTTTTATTTAATTGAAAATGCTTACTAATTTTTATTCAGAAGTATAATGTTTAATTTCCAAATATATGTGAATTTTCCAAATATTGAGTGTTAATTCCTAGTTAAGTTCTATGAAAGTCACAGAGGATACTTTGTATGATTTAGATAATTTTATGTTTATCAAGACTTGTTTTGTGGCCCAGAATATGGTGTATATTGCTAAGTGCACACTTAAAAAAAATGTTTATTTTGCTGTTGTTTTGTGAAGTTTAAAAGTAATATTAATTAGATTAACTTGGTTGTTAATATTGTTCAAGTCTTTCATTTGCTTACTGAATTTGTCTTCTTGTTTTATTAATTGGAAAAGAAAGAAAAATTTGCTGAGATACAGTTGATATATAACATTATATGTTTTAGATATATAGCATAATGATTCAAAATATGTATATATTGTGAAGTGATTACCACAATTATTAATATCCATCACCATACATAGTTATAAATTTTTTCCTTGTGATGAGAACTTTTAATATTAACTATCTTAACAACTTCCACTTTTACAATACAGTATTGTTAACGATAGTCACCATGCTGTACATTACATCCCCAAGACTTATTTATTTTATGACTGGAAGTTTGCGCTGTTTGACTTCCCTCACTCATTTTGCCCACTCCCCACTCTTGCTTCTGGTGACCACAAATCTGTCCTCTGTATCTATGAATTAAGGTATGTTTTTGGATTCCACATGTAGGTGAGATCATACAGTGTTTGTCTTTCTCTGTTTAACTTATTTCATATAGCACAATGCTATCAAAGTCCATCCATGTTGTTGCAAATAGCAGGACTTCTTTTTTCTTTTAATGGCTGAATAATACTGCTCTGCACACTCATTCATTGATGAGCACTTAGGTTGTTTCCATGTCTTGGCTATTGAGAATAATGCTGTAACGAACATAGGATGCAAATATATTTTCTAGTTAGTGGTTTTATTTCTTTTGAAGAAATACTCAGAAGTAGAATTTCTGGATAATATGGTAATTCTATTTTAAAAATTGTCTGTTTGCAGATGAAATGATCTTATACATAGAAAAGCCTAAAGACTCCATAAATAACTGTTGAACTAATAAACAAATACAATAAAATTTCAGGATACAAAATAAACATACAAAATTTAGTTGCACTTCTATATACTAAAAACAAACTATCTGAAAAATTAATAAAACAATATTATTTACAATAGCATGAAAATAAAATACTTAGGAATAGATTTAACTAAAGATTTATATGCTGAAAACTATAAGATAATGATGAAATAAATTGAAGAAGACACAAATAAATGGAAAGAAATCCAATGTTCCTGGGTCAAAAGAATTAATGTTAAAAGATCCATCCTACACGAAGCAATCCTTATTACAAATTTAATGCAATTCCTATCAAAATTCCAGTGAGATTTTTTTTATAGAAAAAAAAATCCTAAAACTTTCATGGAACCACAACAGATCCCAAATAGCCAAAGCAATCTTGAACAGGAACAAAACTGGTGCATCACATGTCCTAATTTTAAACTATATTACAAAGCTATAATAATCAAAATATGTTATGTATGTTACTGGCATGAAAACGGATGCATAGACTGATAGAACAGAATCAAGAGCCAGGATAAACCCAAACATATACAGTCAACTAATATTTAGCAAGGAAGACAAGAACACTCAATGGGAAAAGGACAGTTTCTCCAATAAATGGTGTTGAGAAACTTGATATCCACATGTAAAAGAATGAAAATGGACCCTTTTACATCCTACACAAAAAACCAACTCAAAACTGATTAGACTTAAATGTAAGACCTGAAACTATAAAACTCCTAGAAGAAAACATAGGGGAAAGTTCCTTGACATTGATCTTCACAACAGTTTTTTGGATGTGACATCAAAGGCACAAAACACAAAAGCAAAAATCAACAAGTAAAACTACATCCAACTAAAAAACTCTGAACAGCAAAAGAAACAATCAACAAAATGAAAAGGCAACCTATGGAATGGGAGAAAATATTTGCAAACGATATACCTAATAAGGGGTTAACATCCAAAATATATAAGAAACTCATTCGATGCAATAATAAAAAATAAATAATTTTAAAAATGGGCAAAGAACCTAAACAGACATTTTTCCAAAAAAAAAAAAAAAAAGAAAAAGAAAAGGAACCCTGTGCACTGATGGTGGGACTGTAAATTTGTACAGCCACTATGGTAAAATAGTATAGAGGTTCCTCAAAAAATGGATAAAGAAAATATATACATATGTTATGCGTGCACATACACATATACATATAGTGGAATATTATTTAGCCATGAAAAAGAAGGAAATTCTGCCATTTACAGCAACATGGATGAAACTTGAGAGCATTATGCTAAGTGAAATAAGTCAGACAGAAAAAGACAAATACCATATGATCTTACTTATTTATGGAATCTAAAAAAAATCAAACTCATAGAAACAACTAGTAGATTGGTGGTTGCTACAGGGTGTGGGTGAATAGGTGAAGGTAGTCAAAGGGTAGAAACTTCCAGTTATAAGATAAATAAGTTCTGGGGTTCTAATTTGTAGCATGGTGTCTATAGTTGATAATACTGTATTGTATGCTTGAAAGTTGCTGAGAGTAAATCTTAAAAATTTGTAACACACACACACACACACAATGGTAACTGTGTGAACTAGGTGTGTTAGATAACCTTCCTGGGGTAGTCATTTTGCAATAAATACGTATCTGAAAAGAAAATTGGGCAAAGAACCTGAGTAGATATTTTTGCAAAAAAGATGTACAAATGGCCAATAGGTATATGAAAAGGTGCTCAACATCACTATTCATCAGGGAAATGCAAATTAAAACCACACCAAGGTATGACCTCGCACTCATTAGAATGGCTATTACTAAAAAGACAAGAAATAACAAGTGTTGGTGAGGATGTGGAGAAAAGGGAACCCTCATACACTATTGGTAAAAATATAAATTGATAACCATTATGGAAAACAATATGGAAGTTTCCTCAAAAAGTTAAAACTAGAACTATACATCCCTTATGTATAAACATATTACGTATAAATATATATGATACATAATGCAATATATAGATATTATTCAGCTTTAAAAAAAAAGGAAATATTGTCCTTTCCAACAACATGAATAAACCTTGAGGACATTATGCTAAATGAAATAAGTCAGATACCAAAAGACAAATACTGTATGATCTTATTTACATGCAGAATCTAAAAGAAGTGGAACTCATAGTTAGAGAGTAGAACAATGGTTACTAGGGGTGTGGGGCAGGAATTGAGAAGATGTTGGTCAAAAGGCACAAACTTTCAGTTAGAAGATGAATAAGTTCCAGAGACAGAAAAAAAAAAAATTCCTTGATTATATACTCTTCTCGTGACTAAGGGGAGACCTCTACAACTTTTCAAGCAAAACTCTAACAGCGATAGTTTCTTTACATGAAGCAACTAAAACCATCTCTAAGTTGAACAAAATGATGATGTGTGAGAAAAACATTCAGTGGCTGTTATAGGTAAAATAATGTCACTCCTCCTCCTGCCACAGACATTCTTATTTAATCTCTGAAACCTGTGAATATGTCACCTTACATGGCAAAGGGGAATTGAAGTTGAAGGTTAAATTAAAGTTGCTAATCATCTCACCTTAAAATAGGGAGATTATCCTGGCTTATCAGATAGGCCCAATGCAATCACAAGGACACGAAAAAAGAGAAGAAGGAGACAGGATATGAGTTCTGAGTGTTAAGATGTGAGAAAGAGTCAAGTCCATTGCTGGCTTTAAAGATGGACTAACCCTGGTCACTCATGATGAATAGGAGCAGCCCACCATTGCTGTCATGATCTTGGAGGAAGGGAACAGCCTCCATAAAGGAGCATGGCCCTGCCCATGCCTTGATTTTAATCCATTGAGATTTATGGCAGACTTCTGCCCTACAGAACTATCCTCTAAAATATTTGTTTTGCTTTGAGCCACTAAATCTGTGGTAATTTGTTATAGCAGGCATTGGTAGCAAACACCATGGCTTCCAGGGTGAGAGGAAAAGCTGAATGGCCATATCCAATGAGAGATGGGAACCAGAGATACTCTGTGCATCTCAGCCAGAAGTGTGTGGGCAGGCCCAGCACACTGCCTTTGAAAAGAATATAGAAGAAATTGTCTTTCACCCAGGTGTTACTCTCTGAATGATGCAGATTGCTGGTGAAGTCTGACTGATATGAGGAAATCTGCTTGTTCAGGTTTCCTGCGTGCTGCCTTTGGCAGGAAGGGAGCCCCCACAAGGCTGCATGGAATGAAGTGGTGCATTTTCCCAGTGGGAAAGGGCAGTAGTCTCCCAGGACGAAGAGTGGAAGATGGCTGTGCCAGGCATAAACGAGAGGTATGATAAAAGTGCCCCCACTCAACCAGGAGCTCACTCGGACCAGACAGAAAGATGGCGACCAAATGGCAAGAGTGAAACTATAGCATATGAATTTGCAAAATAGGTTTTGTGTTTGCTAGTTTTGCTTTATTATTTATTGAGTGCTCAATGAGAATCACTGTGAGAGAAAAAACAGAGTGATGAGAGAGCAGGAGAGAGCAAGAGAATAAAATATCCAAACAAAACACTTTGAAAAGATTTCAATCCTTCTTGGGTGTAGTAAGATCGATTTGTGGGTGATTCCCCATGGGCAGGCAGCACGGTCGTCCATTTAAACATCTCCCAGCCTGGATTTCTGTTTCGATACAAAATTCTTGGCAGAAGCCATTTGGACGCTCACATACCTCCTTGAATCTGCCCCTGGCTGCACAGAAAAGAGGGTTATTGTAATTACTTATTAGTCTCCCTGAATTTTTATTGAATTACACGGAGAGGGGAGAGTGTCTGGAAACAATCTTGGATGGGTTTTTGTTTTTGTTGTTATTTGATTTCTTAAGCCAACACTTAAAAATCTGCTTTCACACAAAAGTTGGATTTTTGGCATTCTTGAAAAATCTGGCAATATTGGGTGCGTCGAAGTAACAAAAGGCCAGACCTGGGTAGCCTTGTCCCTTTAGAAGTTCTAGGGCAAACACACTCTAGCTTATTCCAGTTCTTCTTACTCCTTATTATCTCCTAATACTGATAGCACAATCATTTTTATTTAATATCAGTCTTGTATTGCTGATTTTCCTAGAGCAGAAGAAAAACTTTTTAGAGAAATCTCAATCTCTCTCTTTCTCTCTTTTTCTCTCTCTCTATCCCTCTCTCCTTGTGTCTTTCAAAGGTAGAACTGAAATACAGATCTAAAAGATAATATACTTCATGGAAATTGTTAGAGAGGATATTTTTCTGGGAGAAAGGAACATTATTCCTATGTATTTAATATACAGATAGTGTGTGTCCATGAGAGTATTTCTTCCATCCTGATGCTGCACTCACTCCTTATCTCTCTGGTACTAGTCTTTGAGGTTGTAACCCTGCTCCAGAAACCATTGCATACATTAAAAGTTCTTCTTGAGGACTAAACAAATATACTGTTAAAAACGTTGAGTAGAATTTGATTTATATCCTAATATATTGCTGTGCTGGGGGTAGGCCACACACACTGAGATTCTCAGTTCCAAAAGTGGTTTAATAGAATTAGAGTAGTCTCTATATGTAACAAACTGTTCCTTTTCCATGACAGCTTCTTAAGCTCTTTGATAACAGTAAGAGAGGTATAGAAACCAGCACATCTAGATTTTTTATTCTGGAACACAAAAACCGTTTCTTGAATAGTTTCAAATCAGTATAGGGCATTTATATATATTCAATAAACGCCTTTTGAATTGACCTGAAAATCAAATGTGTTAAATTTAATTTAATTCATCAAGTTCACAAACCAATTAGCTAAAGGATATGAAAATTAAATATGCAACATGATGTTTTTACCTAAAATGTGAATTGGGAAATAATTAAAGGGTATTTTTTTTAAAAATAAATTATCATTCTAATTGTTGAGCACTATGTAGAAATCACCTGGAACCTTGAGTTTTTCATTCCTTGGACTGTACATCTCTTCCTTTTATCTGTAACAAGCTCAACTACTGTATCTACAGGCCCCAACTACCTTGAGCTAAAACTGGCCTATTTCCACTGGAAGGGTCATCTGAGATTCATATTTTAGAGGATGAACCACTGGCATGTCCTGTGGTATGTGATAAATCACTCTTGGACATTCCTTTATTGTGGTACTTATTGTATTCTACTATGATGTTGTTTCTCCATCTGACTTCACTTCTGGATGATGAATTCTTTGAGGGCAGAAATCACATCATTTTCTTCTCTGAACATGTATCCCAGAACCTGGCTCAAGTCTTGGCTTATAGTAGATATTCAGTAAATGATTGTGGAATAATTGGTTAAAATAGAGCTATTTTTCATCCTGTAAGTGAAACATGTTGGTCTGGAATTTATTGTTACTGTCATTATACACGTCATGTAGTTATTTGCATAATTTTGTTGTAGTTGACTACTGAGCATTTCCTTTTCAAATCCCAAAGGAGCTTTGTAAATATATAACACACTGTTACTCGTGTGTAAGAATCCAAGTGATGTTAAGGGTATTTTTCTTACTTTATTGTTTTTATTAGTTCTCTCTGGTACATCTCGTATTTTGCATACTATGGGTACCCTGTCATGCCTACCTATTTGCTTTTGAAACAATTATAGTTACTCTGAGCATAGTAGATGATCTTGTCCAATTAGTTATTTTACAGATTAGGAAATAAGACAGGGGAAAAAAGCAACTTGCCCAAAATCATATAGTGATTTAGTAAGGGAGTGAAGAAGGCCAAAGCTAAAGTTTGTGTCCTCAGCCCCATTTCTTTTGCCCCTCCGGCCTCATCTTACCTCCTCTCCTTTCTAATCTTGGTGCATTCCATTGTGGCTGTAAGTAATGCTTTTGCCTCTGCTCTTCTAACTATTACACTGCTTTCTTTTTATTTGGGTTGAGTGGCAATGAAGACAGAAAAAAATAAATTAGTTTTCAAAATTTGAAAGTTTTGAAAGCTGGTTAAAAGTATTCATTTCTTGGAGATACGGATGTCAGACACATATTTTAAGTTACTTTCTTCCATCTAACTCATATGTTTCTCAAGGATGATTACTTAGTAAATACTAATCAGATGGGCTCTGAAGTCACCAGCTTTGTGTGCTCCTGAGTTACTATAATCAGATATGGCCTCACCTTTAAGCAGTCATCAGAGAGTCATTCAAAGGAAACAGCCTAATGGAACCTTAGGGTGGGTTGTATAGTGAAAGTCAGGACTGGAGACAAAGACTTGACTGATAGTAAGCTCACTCTTTAACCTTGCTGGAGGGATTTCACTTTTCAGGGCCTTGATTTTTTCCTTTATAAAATAAGAAAAATAGACTTAATCATCAATACCTCTTTGAATCTTGTCAATGAATGATTTTATGATATCTGTAGCTATTGTATCTTTCCTGCTAAATATAACAAGGATAACTATCCTTTTGTTAAAAAACATTTTTGCATTTGTTTAAAAAATACTTATTCTTCCTTTTTCAAAAAAGAGGAAGCGCATTCAAGTTAATTCATAATGTGTTCAATGAGTTTCTAACATATCACCTCTTCACAGTGGGATGGGATAGCTTAACTCCAGCCCTGCGGTAGTAGTTCTAGATCAACCAGCCATTCATCTCCAAACCCTTATAGAGGGTGGGGTAGTAGATACACCTCACACATATACAAAGTCATATATATATGCACATGTACACACAGAGAGACCATTACTAAGAAAAGAGGCAGATGAAAACCTTGGATAGATAGTCTCAAACACTCTTGGTACTAAATTGATATCATGATTTTTCTTCCAAAGCCAGCTCCTACAATCAGGTCTCTCTAAGCCTTAGTGCCTTAAGCTCTTAAACCTTATGTTGTTTTTGGCTTTTGCTTTTCCTTTGGTCGTGATTTATTTCTCTCATGGTTCTCATTTATGAAACCTCTCCTTCATCCTATACTAATACTCTATTTGGTGGTGGGGTGGTGGGGCTTGCTGACTCCTCTCTGGACTATATAGCAATGAAGGTGACTGGCCTATGTCTTCGTGGAAGTCAAGGGCCATATCATCTTTTCTTTCTTTGTATGCCTGCTTCCTAATAAGGGCACACAGTGATGCATAACAGATATCCAATAAATAAAACTGTTCTCCCCCCTACTGTCTCTCCCCACTTCAATCTCTCCCCTCTACTTCCTCCAGATTAGTTCTCCTAAAACAAAGTTGGAATTTCTTTCACAAGCTGCACCTTCCTGACTCCAACCCTCCAAACCTGAAGTACTGTCTACCCATTAGCAGTAAATAGTCCTTTAAAACACAGATAGGACAGTTTGATTTTTACCAGGAATAGGCATTTCTCCTATTTTATTTTTGGTTGAAAATTGTGGGAAGTGCCTTTTTTCAACATAAAGCATAGCAATCAAGAGTTTCTTAAAACATAAGAGGATCACCCACATTTACATATCTATGACTACTTTACTCCTTCCCAACACTTGAGGCCCTGATTTCTCAGGAAAAGATAAGAAGATATTCCACTTGATATAGAGCAATAAGTTGCTTATTCCTCTTTGGATCTACACTTCCAAGAGTTCTAGGAAATTTCTTGATCTATTTTGGGTGTCTGGTCACTTTCTTGGGTAAAAGCAAGGAGATACATGCACAGATACCTGTTTGTACGAGGTATCTTACACCTGTGATCCATGTGTGCATGCTGAATGCAGGAAGATACACTCTCTTACAGTATCATCTATGATTCCTGTGTTTAAGTCCTACTGTAGATGATTAGATGTTGAAAAGGAAGAGGAAAAATCAGGGGTTGCGATGAAGCATCAAGGGCCAGAGTCAAGACTGGGGGGCCAACAGAATTGAGGTACAATGGGTTGGAGATTTCTTAGATTTAATGTAAACATTTCCAAGAGAACCCCCCTTACCAATTGCTTCTGCCTGAGCCCCTCTAGCTTTAGCATAACTCTTATGCCAGTATCCTAGGATAATTACCTTTTGCTGAAAGTAAGTAGAAGAGTTTTGGAGACCAAGATTTAGTAGGATAATGTGCCTTTTTTTTTTTTTTATCTACATCTAGAAACTGCTAGTAAACTTGCTCAATTAAATTAATTTTTAGAGATGAAACAAAAAGGGTTTCAAGACCATTTCATTTAGTCTGAGAGTGGCTATGGAGAACTGAGATAGGTGGCTACAGGGCTGTCAGCCAATGGGTCTTCCAGATTTGCTATGAGACCCCTTCTTATGGCATTGGTAATGGGATTTGGGTCTGAGTACTGGATCCCCATAAGGTCTCAGGCACTCTACTCTTACCTAGGTTTTCATAAAGTTTTTGTTGTTGTTACCTGGTATAACTTGGTTCATAAAGAAGAGAATGGTAAAGAGGAGGACAGCAATCCTCATGGTTGAAGAAAGGAGAAAGCTTGGCTTCATTTCCAAGACGCAGAGAAGACTTCCGTCTGCGGCTCTCTAGCACCAGCGGAATGTCTTTGTCTGGGTAATAAGTGCCCTTCTGTACCTCATTAGGGATGTTCGTGGACAGAGGAGGTCTATGTATACACAGTGGCCTTCCTAAGGAGACTGCAAATCTTTGTTTTGTTGGACACTCAGTTCATTAGGAGGACGTGGGCACACAGTTTTGACCACAAAACCTTGTTAAATGGGAACATAAGCTACAAACACTTTGGCAACAGATTAAAGTCTATGAACAAAGAACTATCTATATTAAGTTACAATGAGTCAGACTATGTTGAGAAACCAGCCAGTTTAATGACTAAACGTTTTGTTAGTTAATACTTGCCAGGCTTTACTAGCCTTGCTAATAATTAATCATCCCCTCACTCCTGGTCTGAATGCCCACAATGCTCTACTCATGGTATGGTGCTTACCATATGGTTGGTAGTCTGCTAAACATCCATTTACCTTCCCCATCAATGTGTGAGCTTCTTACTTGCTAGGACCTTGCTTTGCTCCTTAGAACTAAGGAGCAAGTTGAATTGTGTTGTCCTATATTCTCAAATCCTTCTCATCGACTATAAAAATGCAGGGCAGTGAAATGCCACTAAACTTGGAGGCAGCAGGTCTGGATTTAAGTTCTAAATCTCTAAACCTGCTACTAACCAGAGACATGGACGCAAACAGGAGACTATCTTCCTTGAACCTCAGTAGCATCTATGTAGATCTAAACCTGTTGAAGGTAGATTGGGGGCTCTCATTATTGTGCATAAAACCAACTGGGAAAGTTGCTTAAAAATGCAGGCACTAAGATCCACTCCAGGAAATATTAGTTTGGTGAAGTGCAGTGGAGACTAGAAATCTGCATTTTAAATGAATTTCCTAGGTAGTTATTTCAAAATTTATTCTAGAGTACTCATTGGAAAACATCAACCTAGATCATCGCTAAGCTTCTTTCTAGCTCTAACATTAGAGTATTCTAAGTTCTCTGTCTTAGAATAGATCTCATGTTTGGCTTTTATGGGTGATAACAACATTGTGTGTATGTGTGTGTGTGTGTGTGTGTGTGTGTGTGTGTACATGCACACATGCACACACACATTCACATACATGCATATTCACAGCACAGAGGTGTGAAGCACACACCATAATCCATGCAAAATTAGGTCCTAGTTTTATAAAGAATACTCAGGAATTGGCCTGTGACTAACTAAATTGACAGAACAATCTATGTGGAAGAAGGCAATTGTAGCAATAGAGGCTAGATGAGGCTCCAAACTGTGTATAGAGAAGGGAGGGTGTGGCAGAGAAAGATGGCTATAGTCAGTTCTCTTCCCGACATCCTTAGCAGCTAACTTCCTACTGGAAGTGACTCAGCACTTCTCCCCTTTTGTAACCATGTGCCTGGTACACATGCATGGGCTCCCATTACCTGGCAGTGTGTCACTATTGTTTAACCTGTGTATAAAAGGCACCATTGCCATGCTAGGTGGGCTATGCCCTTGCTGGAATAGAGCTATGTCACAGCTGCCTACAGCTCCCTGCATTTTCTTCCAACTGCCTTACTTCGGAACCCAGAATCTGCAGCAATACAGAGGGAAAATGTTTTGAGACTACGAATTACAGGGGCATAACAACATGTATAAAGTGGGCGTTTATGAGTAATCCAATATATTTCATCTGAGTGCCTAAGTATTCAGTAACAATATTTATTAAGCTCTGGACTAGTAAGCGAAGTTCAACTAGTAGCTAGCCTCCAAAATAGCTCTTAATGATCTTCTATCCTAGTACTCATACGCTAGTGCAGTTCCCTTCTGTACGGAAGGGGGCTGACTTGTGTAACCAATGGGATATTGCAGAAATGATGGAGTATAAGTTCTGAGACTAGGTCATAAGAGATGTTACAGCTTCAATCCTGTGTTATTGGAACCCTCACTCTGGGTGAAACCAGCATACATTTCACGAAGATACCCAAGCAAGACTATAGAAATGTCCAAATAAGGCCTCTTGTTAACAGCCACATGAGTGAGCCATCTCGAAAGATCTTTCAGACCAAGTCAAGCCAGGGCTGGTAGGCCCCAGTCTCCTTGCCTTCCAGTACAGCATCAGCATTTCTGTGTCACCCACAGAAACAGAGAACATTTCCAGAGGTCAGGTGGGCTTTGTAAGCTATCCCTACACATCTATTTCAGAAAACATCAAGTCCTGGAGTCCAAAAGATAGAAAATTATGCAAAGAATCAGGTGAGCGAGAACCTCTCTCCAGCCTTTTCAGGAAGGCAAGAGTCCTTCCTGGGCCCTTGAGCTGAACTAGAAACTGACAAGTTTCTTTAAATGTTCAAGTCCCTTCCTGAGGCAGAGACCAGCTCAGGCCAGCAGGGGAGATTTGGGGAGAGCATCTCTGTTCAGGCACAACCTCTGCAAACACTTGGAAGTATCCTTGAGGGCCCAGCAACCACTTGTCTCAGCCTGCGGGTCAAAGTGAGGGCATCTCAGCCCTGCCAGAGCCACCACAAAACTTTTTAAGTCATTTCTGGGGCCCAGGAACCACTTCTGATGGCTTAGATGGCTGTGAATAACATCTGGGACCCTCCTGAGACTCAGGTAACTTTTCTAAATCACCTGGAGAGGGAGGGCAGAACCACTGGTTTCTACTTGTAATGGCAGGAGAGGGTGTCTCAGGCCCTCCAGAGCTTCCTCAAATTTTTCTAGTCAGTTTTAAGTTTTACACCCCGGGAGCTGCCATTATTGACATAGGAGGCACACAGAAGGCATCTTGTGATGCCTGAGGTGCTGGAAATGGTTTAAGTCTTTTTGAGCTTTCAGGGAAGGCTTTATTTAGCTGTACTAAAGGCACAGGGAGGGTGGTAGCCCACCTGAGCAAAAGCAGAATTCTGTCTTCCAAGGACAGTGAACTCCTGCTGCTGGCCTATGTTGCCCCCTGCTGGCCAGGGAGCACATAAGATCGTACCTTCCAACAAACAGGCAGAGATATGGAACCTAGGTGCCCCCGAACCCGAGGGGCTTGGGTAGATCAGGTGGCAGAAGGGCAGTCAGGTGATGAGGGCTGAGGTAGTACTGGGGCTTAAAGTTCCTTGAAGACAGTGCTTCTGCCTGCAGTGTGAGGTGGATATGGCTCTGGAGTTCTGTCTTCCTTGCAGAGAACACTGCCCAACCAGCTACCTGGCTGAATTACTGAAAGCTGCTGATTGTCCTGTGGCAGTCAAGACCAGAGTCTTTCAACCTCTGTCCAATACTCCTCTCCTCTAGCAATTTATGCTCAGATCCCAGCACTCACTATGCTTTCTTGAGAACGATCTTTTCCCTCCTGTTGCTCACATTTGCAATTATGAAATATGTTTCATAATGCAATCCTATGACTCTGACTCCAAACTAACCCCATATCAATGCCTAGTTATTCACTTAGGGAAATCTGTACTATAATCTCTGTCTCCTTAGTTTAATATTACTGTATTAAAATTACTAGTATTTATATCATTTTGTGCATCATCACAATAGTCTTGGTTGTTATTCATCATTAATTTTTATTACCATTTTTATCTTGGATTATTTTTGTGGTGATTAAACACATTGAATAGAGGCAGTTTGATATACTGAATATGATGACAGACATGAATATATACACAGCTGTTCCCATGTTTCCCTTTACTGCCTGGGGTCCTTATATTTCCAGAGACTCTGGAAAAATGTAGCAGTACCTTGGAGGAGTCAGAAACCACCTTTGCTGGCCTATAAGTTCCAGTGAGGGTATCATTGGCCCATCAGAGTTACCACAAAATTTTCTAAGTCAACTTGGAGGCACAGGATCTGCTCCTGAAGGCACAGACAAGTCATGAATGGCATTCAAGGTATCCCTGGGACCCCTCTGTAAGCAGGGAATGGCTTTTGATGTCAGGAAGTCCAGAGGGAGGATGCCCTTGGTCTGCCTGAGCCTCTCAAACTTTGCAAGTCCCCTTGAGGTTCCAGCAACCTCTTGTTCTGGCCTTGGTGACCCATGGTGGGAGTCTTTGGACTGCCAGAGCCATCTCAAGTTTTTCTAATTCTCCTCAGGGTGATAAAAACTGCCCTTACTCTTCTGGGAAAGGTGGGCAGAGTGTCTACATAAGTATGTGCCCCCTTAGAATTTTCCACATCAGCTCAGAGCCCAGAAACTGTCATTGTTAATACTTGAGACACGAGTGTGTCCAAGGCCCACCTGAGCCTCTGGAAATATTCTAAGTACCTTCAGGTGTCCAATGCTGGCACTGGAAGACATGGAGATGGTGACCTTCCAGCCTGAGCAAGTCTTGAATGTTCTGTGTTGGTCAGAAGTCCATGACCCACTCCTGTTGGCCTGTGTTGCCCCCTGCTGGTCAGGGAACAACTGTTGATGATATCTATCTATAGTCCCCTGCTGAGTTATCCAGAAGCAATACGTCTGGACCTCCAGGGTTTCGGGAGAAATAGCTGGCAGAAGGCCATCGAGGCAGTGAAGGCTGAGGTAATGCTGGGGCTTAATGTAGGTATAGTCGGGGCTTCTGTGCACTCTTAGTGTGGATCTGGAGTCTTGCACTCCTTGTATGGAGCCCAAGGTAGTGGGGCAACTTCTGAAATCTGGTGGGTGTGGAGTGATGGGAAGGCTCAGGACCAAAGTCCATCTCTGTCCTTTAGGACACCCCTCCAGGGTTTGTGCAAGAGTTGCCAAATTCACCCATGTCCTCCTCCTTCCTGGTTTTCTATTCCTCTCTGTTGCTACTTTCTGCCTTATTTTATTTTTTCTTTGTGTAGAACTCAGACTCTGATTCCTAATCATCCCAGGAGACCAGATAGCGGTACTTTGTCATTCATAAGGAAGTCTGTACTCTATTACCTTAGGTTTATTTTTATTATAATTAATAGTGGTGGTAATTTTATCATTAATATGATCACCATTTTTGTTATTATATATTATTATTATTAGAATTTTTATTAGTATTTATCAATATTTTATTAGTATATTATCAATAATTATTCATCTTCATTTCTCATTATGGATTATTTTTGTGGTCAGTTTTTACACATTGAGGGCTTCCTGTAGGACTTAGAAAAATCTGTGGTTGCCTAGGCAGGCAGGTTGACATTTTTGTGCCTTCCAGTGCAGTAGTAGAATTTCTTGGGCCAATGAGGGGACTTAGAATATTTTCAGAGAGTCAGGCATTCCTAGGCTGCTACCCTTGCACCTCGGTTTTCAATTACATTGGCTCCCTGGCTCTGAGCTGAAGCAGAAAATACTGAGGATGTTAGGGCAGGTGGTGATGCTTTAACCAGTTTTTTTAGAAAGCCGAGAGCAATATCGGCCCCTGAGTAAACTTAGAAAAAAAATTTCATGGCCCTATAGGGCCAAGGACAATCTCCTTGTGTCTTCCAGGACAACACAAGGGTTTGTTGTGTGCTCAAAGGGACTAGTGAATTTTTCTAGAGGCTTAGGTAGGCTAAGGGCACCCTGTAAGGGTCTCCCCTGACAGCAAAGGCAGGTACATTCCTCCAGAGGGGCCTTGGAATGATAAACTAGACTTATCTTACAAGAGGGAACCAAGTAATACAGCTGGAATCAGAGAGCATAATTATGTGTGCAGTTCTTTTGGGAAAACCTCTGGAACAGTTTCCAGTAAATTGGATACCGTTTGTAAAGAGGGAAACTCTATTCAATGTTGTATAACAACAAACAAAAAAGAAAATCCATAATAATAAATGTAATAATAAAGATACAATAAATTACAATAACAATAGAGATGATGGTCATAGTGCCATTAACACTAACACTACTACTAATGATAAAAGTAAACAAGATACCAATGTCAGGACTAGGTGTAGTTTAGAGTCAGAGTCCTAGATTTGTATGAAGAAAATAGTACCATAAGGAAAATCAACCAACAGGATGTAAAAGAAAACCAATTATGAGAAGGATATTGGTGGACAGAGAAGTAATGTGCAAACCCTGGGACAACACACTTAAGGAGCTGTAATAGGAGGACCGTAGATGAGAGCCAGGCCGCAGCATATACTCAACAAATTTCAGAAGTCTATCGACTGGCTGATGGGGCTGGTGTCATGCAAGGAAGGCAGAAGCCAGAGTTACAGCCACCACGAAGAAGCCAAGTGTACCATGTAGATTAAGCCCTCAGCATTATCTTAGCCCTCACCTCCTGACATGTTTCAACCTTGATAGCCCAGGAGCACAGTGAATGATACTCTACAATACCCTTAGGTGGAAGTATGGGAACTGAGATACCCAGACCATTAGGGGCCTTGGAGGACAAGATGGCAGAAAAGCAGCCAATTGGTGGAGGCTGATGGAGTATTGGGGCCTTAGAGTTTCTAGTAGACAGGGCTTCTGAGTCAGAAGATGGAGGAGCCAGAGCAGCTTGAGAGACCCGCCTTCTGGCTGAACTACTGGGAGCTATTGAGTGTCTTGTGGAAGGGCACAAGCCAGAGTTTTCTACCACTGTCCAGTTTTCCCCTCCTGGAAGAGTTCACACACAAGTCCCCATGGTAAACCATGCTCACCTGTGACTTGTTTTCCCTTTCTTTACTGCTGCTCGTGTTTGCCTTCATAGAACTCATTTTGGGGTGCAATTCTAGGACTGACTCTAAATTTCCTGTTGAGGACCTGTATTTGTACATCGTTGTACACTTAGGAGAATCTGTATCCTAATTTCCATCTCCTTCAATTAATATTTTCATTATTAAAATTATACCTACTTATGTCATCATTATCATTATTACTGTTATTATTATTCTTATGATCAATTTTTGTATTTGTTATACAACATTTACTAGTTCCTCTGGTCATGACTGAAGTGTGACTTAATGAAGATGTTTAGGAGGGTTCACCAAATACATAACACACAGCCAATCCTGGAAGTCCCCATACCACTTGGTGTCCATTGGAAAGTCAAGTTCTCTGAAATATTAAAGCCCCTGGAGGACGGAACCCTCTCAGGCTTGCAGGGGAGTTTTGGGGGAGGGGATCCTGTCTCTTTTTAGCCTAGTAAAAATTTTAAGAGCATCCTTGTGGTCTTAGCAACCATAGTCACAGATTTCTGAATCATATCAAGGGGACTGGGACTATGTGAGGAAATGCCTGAAAACATGATGATCCATTAATCCCATTTCTTATTTCTGTTCATATTAACAAGGATATTTGCCCAGAAATACCCATGGCTACACTTCTATTGGAAGGGAAGTGTTGGAACTATACAAATGTCAACCAACAGGAGAAAGGATTAAAAAAGAAAACTCTAGTGCATAAATAAATAGTAAATCTCCATGAACTTGAATGAAAAAGAGCTACATGTGTTGACAGATTTTTCAGGAACAATTATTTGAGTCAAAAGGCAAGATGCAGAATGAAAACAGAAAGTGTATTGACAAATATACAAATGTTTTTACTTGTATAAAATATATACTTAAAATTTTACACATGTATTAATACTTTTAAATGCTAGGAATGGTAAATAATTAGTGAATATTGTTCCAAGAGATAATTAGATCAAATGTGATTGGATCAAGTAGTAATTAGATTAGTGGGACTGAGTTAATCAGATGCCTCCAAAAGGTAAAATCCTACATGTAAGAATATCTTATAAATCATGATATTCCCAAATTGTTCATCAAAATACATTAGCCATCAAACTACTTTCAAAATAACACTAACCATGTACATTTCCTAGAAGAGTGTATGAAAGAACTTGCTTCAAATAAATTAAGAAGACAATATCAAGAACTTTTATAGTTTTATAGTTTTCCAATTTTATGGAAAAAATATATCAAGGTAATACCAGATTTACTGGCAAAGAATAAAAACAATAAAGAAAAATACCCTTAATGTGACTTGGACTCTTACACATGAGTAACAATGTGTTATATATTTATAAAGCTCCTTTGGGATTTGAAAAGGAAATGCTCAGTAGTCAACTGCAACAAAATTACACACATAACTACATGACGTGTATAATGAAAGTAACAATAAATTTCTAGACCAACATGTTACACTTACAGGATGAAAAATAGCTCTATTTTAATCAATTATTCCACAATCATTTACTGAATATCTACTACATGCCAAGAGTTGAGCCAGATTCTGGGATACATGTTCAGAGAAGAATAAGATGTGATTTCTACCCTCAAAGAATTCATCATCCAGAAGTGAGGTCAGGTGGGGAAACAACATCATAGTAGAATACAATAAGTACCACAATAAAGGAATGTCCAAGAGTGATTTATCACATACCACAGGACATGTCAGTGGTTCATCCTCTAAAATATGAATCTCAGATGACCCTTCCAGTGGAAATAGACCAATTTTAGCCCAAGGTAATTGGGGCCTGTAGATACAGTAGTTGAGCTTGTTGCAGATAAAATTTTTTCAACGTTAACAAAATTCTCCCAGATATGATATATTCTACAGGTACTTTGATTTTTAAATATTGCTGATCTTGAAAAATTACTTTTATTACACAAATTTATTTACTGGAAAATAAAGAGGAGTTTGGTTGGACCTGCAGCTTATTAGAAATACAGAATCTCAGGCCCAACCAAGCTCCACTGCATCAATATATACATATGAAAAAATGTCCCTCAAATGATTCGTACACATATTGAAGTGTGATAAGCACTGCGTTTAGACTGATTCTCTTTGGGTCGTATTGGAATCATATAATGAGATTTAAAAAATACAGATGCCTGGGTTCTTCTCCGAGAGATACAAGTTTAGTGGGTATTGCGAGAGTCCTGAGTGTTGGGATGTTAACACTCTCTAGATAATTCTAATTCTCTAGTGAGGGAACTTCCAAACAGGATGCATCCCATGTGCACCCAAGAGGAATTACTTCAGTTGACTTTTAGCCTCCCCAAGCACACACCATGTAAAAATAACACAGAAAATTTGATGGGGAGGTGGATTGGAGGCTGGATAGTTTACACAGGCAGATCTATGTCACTTGACTTCTATGTAAAGACAGAGAGCGATGAAAAAACTAAACTGGGGAGGCGTTCTGATATCTGGATTCCCTGACTACAAATCATGTGCAGTCCCGGCTCTTTAATCTGTGTCGTTTCCCCTACAGATCTGAGAGGAATGAAGTGAGTTCAAGTTAACTGATCTCAATCCTAGAGACCCAGAGAAGCAGTGGCATGAACCCCATAGTTTTTACTGTTCCCCTGCCTAAGAGAATGTTATCTTCCAGAATTTAAATTCATTTGAGTCCAAATATTTAATAGTTAAAAAAAAAAAAAAGAACTTAAAAGTTGGAGAAACTTATATTAGTCATGAGGAAACCAGAAGAGTTCTTCTTTGGACATAATCTTTGAGAAATTTCTGCAGCATGAATAGTTGGGATTTAGTCATGCCAAATTTCCTCTAGCATGAACTTCAGAATTTACAAAGGAAATTTTAACTCATATTTCGCATTAAAATTTATTAAAGGTGTAAATGAGACAACTGAAATTTGAAAATTCAGTTTTACTATGCTTTTAAATATTCATGTGAAAAAATAGATATTCCAATCAAATGTATCTGGAAATAATGAAAAATTGACTTTTCAGTGGTTAGAAACATAATCTACATATCTCCTCAGGTGCACACTTTTTACAAGCCTCATTATCCATACTTGACATGAAATATTCAGAAACAGAAAACAGAACATAGGTTAAAATACCTCATTTTTCAAATAAAAATACAGGTCATTCTGAACATAAAGAAAAAGAAAAATGTTAAATTACAATATATCTGGAAAATAATGACATGCAAGTTGTAGGATGTCATTCGAATTTGTCTCAAAGGTATTTGAATGTATAAGTCTCAAGAAACGTGAAATAAATTAAATGTAAAGGAGAAATATTTACATACACATACACACAAGCATTAATTTTTTTTTTTTTTTTTTTAAGCAATTACTAAGCCCTCCATCCTCACCTGTCAAGTTTCTGGAACTGAGCCTGCGGTTGAGTCTCTGCTTCCCAGTGATAGAGAATAGAAATGGAAACCACCTTTTGTGTTTGTCAGTGTGAAATTTCACATTTCACAACGGCGAGTTCGGTGTCCACATTCTAGTTCTCATTAGAAAACAAACAAACAAAGAAAAACAACAAAAAACCGGTTAAATTAGTGAAGCTGCGGACGTTCCTAATCCAATCACCGCCTACAGCGACTCACCCAGACAGGACATGCTCACAAAAAAGAGTTTTTGATTTAACCTGTTTTGAAGTTGTTGACCGGGAAACACCTCCGCATTCATATAAGTGGCTCCACACTCAAAACTTTGACTTTAAAGCAACATTGAACTTGAAGTAGGGTGGGATCAGCGGGGCCCACTGGACCTGCAACACACCCCTGCAGACGCAAACGCGGAGACTCAAGTTCTGTGGCCAGCAGCACACACTCGGAAACGCCTGGGGACCAAGCGGAGGAACGCTAGGCCTGCCCACCACAAGCCCCGCCTCCAAGGCTCCGCCCCCCAGTTCTCAGTTGCTTGCCGACCCGGAAGCAGATTTCCCAGGTCAAGGGTCCAGTTTCCTGGAGCGAGTTTTAGTATTTAGTTCAAACTTGCACGTTGATGTTCTCAGCGCCGCGTCCTCCACACCCGGAGTCCAGGATCCTGGGGACATTACAGAACCCGCATTCGCTATCTCCAGTCGGGGGGAGCTCCGCCTAGTCAAGAACCGCTTTGCTGCCAGATCTGGATCCGCGTCAGTTTCAGGTAAAATAGCTCCGCGACCAGACCCTGCCTCGACCTTTCTGTCTTGTTTGTTTTCACCGTCTCTTCTTTCCACCCGCGCAGTGTCTGGAGGCGGTTTTGCGGTGCCTGGGGGTAGCTGCCAGTAGCCCCGCCCTCCTCCTACCTTGGGGTTCTAGAGACCCCAGCCCTCTCCTGAGTCAACCTCCCCATTCTGGCGTAGTTTTGGGGCCCAGCTCTGCTGCTCCTCGGGCCTCCCCTTTACAGTCCCCGCCTCAGGGTGGCCCCAGAACCCCGTGCTGGGGCACTCACCTGCCCCTGTACTATGACACTCCTTGTTCTGTTTCCAGACCCATCCCACTGGCTGTGCTTGTCAAGGTGTGTTTACATTTCTGGTGTCCACTGGAAAAATGTGCTCTTCCTGGGCAGGATTATGTTTATTCTAGTCCTGTGAATGCAGGGGCGAGGCGGGTGATGAGGAAATGGAGACCAAGGGAGAACCAGAGAGACAGAGTGAGTTAGGGAGAGTGAAGGAGGAACAGGAGGAGGGTAAAACTGAGGAGAGAGGGTGAGTCCGGTGGGTTTGGAAAGACACAGTAAGAATGAAAGAGAGTGACCTAGGCAAAAAGCAGTGAGATAAATGAAAATAGACAAAAAGAGGATCAGCAGAGAGATGAAAGAGAACAGACTAGGAGGAGGGAGTTTTGACCAACAGTAGAAATGGGGGCAAAGGAAGGGTAGATCTCAAATTCATTAGAGTTTTGTTCTTAATTTCCAATCTGTATTCCCTTTCAAATGTATTGTGTCCAATTCAGATTATGCGGTCTCAATGGTTTTCCAACCTTTTTTTATATGTTAATGACATCCTATAGTGCTTAGCAAATAATTTTACACTATTTCAATGTGTTCTTGGTAAGGATATTGGTGATTTTTTTACATTGACAATCAAAACCTACTTTAACCAATTAGTCTAATATTCAACGTCTTTCTCCCCATGTTATCTTTTAACTAAGTGGGCTGTGAGCTAAAGTTTCCAATTAAATACATGTTCTCTTTGCCCTGTCTCTGAAAATGATCAAGGATGAACTGGATTATTATGGAATTTTGTCAGATGTTCTGGAAAAGAGGAGTTAAATATTTTAGATCATTGTGATTAAAACCATGAAAGAGAAGTGGCTCTTGCTCAGTAGTTTGAAACATGATCTATAATTTTTAAGGACAAGGATGAGAACTGCCACTATCCCATCTGGGCCATGTCATTCCAGTGAGAACAATGCTGGTTCCTCTATTTTGGCCACCTAATGTTCCTCCTTGCGTGCCCCACAGTCACAAGGCAGCTTAATAGGGGAGAGCCCAGACTTTTTAAACTAAGTGTACATTCAAAAGTATCTTTCCAGTGAGGAGGGGGGAAGGGGCACTGACTTTGTAAAGGCAGCTTGGAGAAGGAATATGAAGCTATTTGGGGGTTAAAGATCCACAGAATAGGAGGGAGACTGAGAAGCTCAGGAGCAGAAAAAAATTTGTTTGGTACGTATTGAATGGATGTAAAAATATAAATTTTGTAGAGCTTCATTTCTAGCAATGATATCTATGAAATGCTTAATGTCTTATCTGAGGTACTCAAAAGATTAAGAGTAGCGGGGAAGAGTTTTTTTTTTAAGTTCATAACGTTTAATGAATCATAGAAACTTTATTAGACAGTATTAATATTTTTTTAATAGCATATATTAGAAACAAATATATTTCAGGACAGCAGAATTCTCACTGAACCAGTTTCCATCAGAAGGCTGAGTGATATATGAAAACATCAGATTTAATGTAAAAAATAACTCCTCTTGCTTGGATTTGTTTAATTGCTATATGATTTTCAAAGTGGCTTATTATTTGTTGACTATAAGTTTTCCTTGTTGCAAATAAGCTGTTATTTTGATTTTCTGTGTAATCCACACTCATGTCATAACAGCTGTCAGCTTTTTTCTTTTAAAAATATTAAATGGATTTTTATTTAGATGTGTTCATTATTCCAAAATGCTGAAATACAAATGAGCAAAAATATTATAAGCTATAAAAATACATCTGGAAAATAATCTGTCATTCAGAGACAACTTTTATATTGCTTTATTTAAATGTTTCTGTGTATGTGCCTTCTAGAGAATCTAGTCTCCCTGGGAGGTGGCTGACTCAGGGACCATGCCCTGCCCCCCAGCGCTCAAAAGCTCCACCTATCCTGAACATTAAGGCTACAGCACTTTCTTGGCCCTGACTGTCTTGCTGCACTTTCTGACTTCTGTTCCACCCTACCACCTTCAGGTATGTACTTCTGGCATCTTGCTTCTGAACCTGGAGATGTTGGTGGGAGACTGGGTTGGTCCCTCTGTGCCCTCCTCTGTGTTTGTAGATCTGTAGATGGCTTGAACAGTTCCTTGATTCTGGGGCATAGTACTTACAAAATACTTCACAGGCTCCAGAGGAAAGGGACCACCTCTCTATCCTTCCATGCTTGTTCCTTCTATTCCTGGGCCCCGAGGAGTCTTAGGAAATTTTTCATTGAGCCTGGTGGGCCACGGACGTCCTCTCTGGGCCTTGCACACAGGCATGAGTGGTTGCTCATTCCCAGGGTGATTTATAATATTTTCCAGAGGCTCAGGCAGGCCATGATGTCCTTGTCCAGTCTTTCCTGTCAGAATGGCCACTCAGGACTCTTGGAAAATTTGTGGACACTCATATCTGGAAAGGGCACCGGGACTGACCTGGAAGCATCTGTGTGTTTATATGTATTTTGGGGAAATCCTCTGTAGTTCCTTTCAGTAAGTTTGACACCCTGAGTAGAAAGTGAACATTGATTTAGTGTTGCCTAACAACAGATATAAATCATAATTGTAATAGTTACAATCATGATGATTAGCAACAATAATAATAATGGTCTTTATGGTGAAAACAATCATAATAAGAAACCTAAGGAGATGGGGAATAGAATCCAGACTTCTGTGAGTGAATGACCAGATACCCAGAGCAGGACTCGGTGTCGTGTCCCTCAGAGTCTTAGATCTGCTCCCTGAAATGTGTTCCCTAAAGGTGAAGAACAAGCAGAAGGAGAGAAATAGAAACACCAGAAGTGGGTCATAGGTGATAACAAGGACTTCTCAGAGATTGCCTGTAGGTGAGGCTTGCTGGGAGGAGAAGAGCCCAGGTCCACAGCCTGCCTGCTGCCCCCACATCCATCCCTGTCTTGGAGCCTGGACATCTGGCAGGATTGAGGGACCTCCTTGGAATGCAGACTGGATTGCTGATCCACTTCCTGCCCCTCTACAAGGAACATTAAGCCCCCAGAATTGTCGCAGCCCTCAGTGCCAGCTGCCTTTCTGCCATCTGCTTTTCCCTGGTCCTTCAATATCTGCACATGTCTGTTACTATATTTCTGTCTGGGGCTGCTGGAAGGTGTCATCCCTGTTCCTCTGGCTGTCAGGTGGAGAAAACAGGCAGCAGGAACAGATCCTGGAGAACTTAGACAATTCTCTGTGTGGAATGCTGGAAATAAAACACCAAAGGAAAAGGGGGATAATAATTATGAACAAAGGAGAGAATGGGAAAGATTTTTAATAATTGTAAACTATGGTCCCTCAAAAATAACAATTCAGAGCCAGTTAGATCCCATTCTACTTAGAATAGACTTTATAAAGAATTCCATGAGATCCTCTGTGAGAGAAGGATTGTTTATTTAAAGAATGATGCAGTAACACATGGTGATCCACTGGCAAGAAAATATAGTCGAGTAGGAAACTCTTAAAAATGCCATGATGTGGTGGATAACTGCGTAGAGCAGGAATATTATAAAAGTTCCTCCAAAATAGGCATCATACAGAGGTGCTCAAAATAATGGATATATCTTTATAGATATATGTAGGCATATAGATATATAGAATGTATATGAGAAAATAATTTTCTATATGCATAGAAAGGCAAAGCATTTAAACAAGGATGTAATAATATAAACATGCCTTGCTTAATCTCCTCTGACTGCTAACATTAACCAGAGTGAAAAATCCTGCTTCATATGATAATGAAAAAAAAGTATCTTCATACATTGCATATGGAGCCATTAAGTGTGCTACATTTGGAGTTTAGCAACCAGGCAATATCTGTTCACTTTGAAACACACATGAGCCCATGACTAGCAATGAATGCACCTTCTGTGAATGTCCCTCAAAGTAATAAACTCATTATTAATTAAGTATGTCAAAGACATTCATGTTGATACCACTTTGAGGCAGGAGAAACAAACTAAAAATCAAGCATTGAGCAAATGGTTAATTTGAGGTTCACTTTTGTTTTGGAACAATAGAGAAATTTAAGGTATAATTTATGTCTCTGGCAGAATACTCAGAGCATTCCAGGCTGTGTTTTTGTTTTTGTTTTTTGTTTTTGTTTGTTGTTGTAAAATACACATATAACATTTGCCATCTTAACCATTTTAGAATGTACAGGTAAGTATATTAAGTATATTCACATTGTTGTCTAAACTGTAACTACCATTCATTTCCAGAACTCTTTCATTTGCAAAACTGAAACTATATCCATTAAACAATAACTCCCCATTCCCTCTTCCCCCATCCCCTGTCAGCCACCATCCTACTTTCTATATCTATGAATATGACTGCTCATATAAGCGGAATCATAACATATTTGTCTTTGTGACTGGCTTATTTCACTTACTGAGAAACATGTTCACTGAAGTGTTTTAAGGTGTGGAAGTTTTGAAAAATGAGTAGTAACTGGGTCTCTCTACTTCTGTACATGACTACTTGTTAGCCTGGACGAATTGGTGAGAGAAGGATCATTTAAGTCCACCTCCACTGAAAGACATCATTTTGTCAAAGAAATCTTCTTAAACAGACATACTTTTTTTTCTAGAGTATCAAGCAGCCCTAGGACCTCTTCTCCTAGGTTTCCCCATCAGCATGGACCTGGCAGTACCTCCAGAGGTGTTTCAGGAGTTTTGTCTGTGAACTAATATCAATAGTAATGATGCCCATGAATTAACAGGGACCAAACAAACAAACAAACAAACAAAAATGAAGTGGGATTATGGGTAGGATTGGGAGAACTGCTGATGAATGGACTCTACCCTCACTCTTGGATTAAAAAGGTAATGAGGGAGCAGCAGCTGAAAACGAAAGTAATCCAGAAGTGTTTTATTTATTTTTTTAAATTCAGATTTCAGATTGGGAGATAAATGTTAAGAGGATGGATCATATTGAGAGAGAGTTGTAAGATAAAGTGTATATTTTATAAGTAATAACAAAATTCATGATATGGCAGGAAATTATAGGACCCAAACATAAAGATCCTAGGTGGAATTATAAGTAATTCCTCACCTGTTATGGGAGAGATGGCATAAACAATGGATGTGAGTGCAAGACTACTTTAAAATTTAATGGTTAGAAGTGCCTACCTCCAAAATTACCTACTTCATTTGTGAAATAAATTATAAACCATCTGATGAATGAAAGAGGAAAAATGAGTCTGGAAATCCATCATTCATACCAAAGGTTTGAAATACTATTTATTTTGCACGGGAGTTGGAATTGACATGCAAAACCTAATGGGATTGCCAGACATTTTTGAGAAATAAACAAAATGACCGGAGATACAATGGCATATTTATGGTGTCTCCTGGTAGAATTACTTTGCTATGGGAGCCAGAAATCTTAAGCCAGAAGATTTTATCTCTGCAGGCATAGGAATTCCACTTAAATGTATAATTAAATTGTGAATGATGGTGATAAAACTATAACTACATTGTGCTATGAATTAACATTTTTTTTTAAAAAAAATTTCCTATTAGCCAAAAAGTTTGGTTGGCTTCTCATTTTTATTGAATAGCTAATAAAGTCTTAGCATGTTCTTGAAAGTACTATGTGGCCAGTGTTACTGTGCAACACTCCCCTTCTCCTTATTAGTCATATAGTTTATTTTTGTCACATCAAAATGTGTATTGTAAATTTTTGTATTCATTCATCTTCCATTTTATTTTTAAGTTCAGATTTCCTCCAAGGATTTTGAACTTTATGTCCATAGAATCCCAGTGTGTCTGGTTCTCTGCATATCTGTTTTTAGACATTTGTTATATCAAAGCAACATCTTAACAGTCTTTAAATTTTATTCTGTCAACATTTACTCCACCAATTTCATGTCCTGTTTTTGACTGTTTGTGTTCCTTTCCCATTTTTGTCTTGAATCTATTTTATTATTTTAACTGCCTCCCCAAGATTCTAGATCTGTGATATCTAATACAGTAACTACTGGTCGCATGTGGCTATTCAACTTCAGTTGATTAAAATTAAATAACTATGTCATATCCATAGTAATGCTAGCCAGATTTCAGATGTTTTGTAACCACATATGCCTGGTAGCTGTGGTATTGTACAATGCAGATATAGAACGTTTTCTCCATCACAGAAAGTTCCACTGAGCATATTGATCTACATCTTAAGTTTTTACTCTACCATTTTGGCTTATGAATAATTTATTTTCTAATTCTTCAAGTTAATTGCTCTTAAGAGTTTCCTCAAGTGAATTTTTCCATTTTATTTCTTCTCGAGGTAGGTACTTATATTATTGTAACCCTTTTTAAATTAATAAAAAAAATTAAGACAAAATTTTCTGTGAATGGTGTTCTAGCTTTGTTCCAATGGTACTTTTATATAATATGTTCAAGTATTATTTTTCATAATGTCTATTTTGAAAAAATTATGGCAAGGTTATTTAAAAGATTTTAAGTTGGCATATTGTGTCTTCTGTGGTTATTATGTTCTGGTCTCCTTTATTGAATTAAATCATAAAATTATTTATGTCATATCATTTCCTTTGTTGTCTTTACCAGTAACATGGATTTTATAGTTGTGGGCTTGTCTTTCACAGCTTTCAATTTCTTTCCAATCCTTTCAATAGTTTTTACTTAATCCTTTTCCTTTTGGTCATTTTAAAGCATGTCATCCACATAAGTGATTTTTTAGCATTGTCTCTTTTCCTTTCTTTTATTTCCCAACATGGTCTCTTCTCACGTGATTTTCGTTTTACTTTTGGAAATTTTGGAGCTCTGCCAAATCACTTTTTCTTGTCTTGTAAATCTTTGACTTGCATTCTTGTAATTCTGTTTTAAAGTTCTATTAATTAAAGTTTCTAATAAATTGTAATTCTTCCATTACTAAATAACTATGTCATGTCCATAGTAATGCTAGCCAGATTTCAGATGTTTTGTAACCACATATGCCTGATAGCTGTGGTATTGTACAATGCAGATATAGAACGTTTTCTCCATCACAGAAAGTTCCACTGAGCATATTGATCTACATCTTAAGTTTTTACTCTACCATTTTGGCTTATGAATAATTTATTTTCTAATTCTTCAAGTTAATTGCTCTTAAGAGTTTCCTCAAGTGAATTTTTCCATTTTATTTCTTCTCGAGGTAGGTACTTATATTATTGTAACCCTTTTTAAATTAATAAAAAAAATTAAGACAAAATTTTCTGTGAATGGTGTTCTAGCTTTGTTCCAATGGTACTTTTATATAATATGTTCAAGTATTATTTTTCATAATGTCTATTTTGAAAAAATTATGGCAAGGTTATTTAAAAGATTTTAAGTTGGCATATTGTGTCTTCTGTGGTTATTATGTTCTGGTCTCCTTTATTGAATTAAATCATAAAATTATTTATGTCATATCATTTCCTTTGTTGTCTTTACCAGTAACATGGATTTTATAGTTGTGGGCTTGTCTTTCACAGCTTTCAATTTCTTTCCAATCCTTTCAATAGTTTTTACTTAATCCTTTTTCTTTCGGTCATTTTAAAGCATGTCATCCACATAAGTGATTTTTTAGCATTGTCTCTTTTCCTTTCTTTTATTTCCCAACATGGTCTCTTCTCACGTGATTTTCGTTTTACTTTTGGAAATTTTGGAGCTCTGCCAAATCACTTTTTCTTCTCTTGTCTTGTAAATCTTTGACTTGCATTCTTGTAATTCCGTTTTGAAGTTCTATTAATTAAAGTTTCTAATAAATTGTAATTCTTCCATTACTAAAATTATTGGATAATTTTTAAATGATGCTTTCCTCCAGGGCAAAGGATTTCTTGAATATTAATATTCAGTTACCTTTTTACTTCTACCTCCTTTATACTTTATCTTTTATAATAGTTACTGCATTGGTTTTCTTTTTCCCCCCCAAGTAATTTTCATTGAGTTGAGTTCTCAGTAAACCGCATGAATCCATGGTAGTAGTTTAGAGAGACATATGTCAGGATTGTACTGTAGCAGGAACTCTTCCCTAGGTCAAAATAATGACTGTTTAGCACAGGACATTTGAAAAATTTGTGGGACCTTGTTGGGGTTTTCCATAATCTAAGAAAGATCAGCTCCTGATCAGCTGCTTTTTATTTACTAGTTCTCATCCACTCATGACCTTCTTGGATGCCTACAACTTGGAAGCATGGACAGAGCACAGTGCTATCTGGTACATTCTTCCCGTTCATAGGGCTGTCTTGTTTCATACGCATAGGGTTCCCTGGATATCCCTATATTTCATTAGAAGAAAAATTCTAAAGTTAAAATATTATTTTTCATTTCAATCTAAATTTGCCTCGAAGTCAAAATCCAACATAATCCCATGGTTAAAGCCTTATTAGTTTGCCTAGATCTTCCTTCTTTCTCCTATATTTTCTGAATAACTCAAATTGGTAAACCATATTTATGGAGTATCTTTTAAGCATTGTGAACTGTCCTGGGTATTGGCTGCCTTTCCCTAGTTATCAGATCCTTGCATTAATCTGGGGATTCTCTTTCAGATCTGATTGAAAGCTCTGTCCTCCCTGTTTGGTGACTTACAGAGGAAAATAAGAGGAAACAGTGCCCAAAATCCAGTTTTCACCCCCCACACCCAGATATTTAAACAACTTTCCAGTTCCTCAGACCCCTTCACTCATCCTAGAAGGCAAAAGATTCAAATTCTTCATTATAGTACATGTATACAACAGGCAGAGAGCAGAGCTTGGTAACTGTCTTGACACTGCTTGTTTTTGTGATGCTGAAGGCATTTTCTTTCCTATGCATTACAGAAAGATTCAAATTTCTAGATATGGACTAATGGCCAAGGGGAGGGCTATTCTACTATTCTGAGAAGAGCAGGCACCTCAAAGCTCAGGGTAGAGGCAGGGGTTCGCAGGGTATAGAGTGTAGGGCCCAGTCCAAGCACCCTGAAATGGAAAACACTGGTATAAGAGCTCGGGGTACAATTGGAGCAGGCCATCCAACCAGTTTCTGGCCTTGTGGCCATGGAGGAGGACAGCAAGGGCTCAGAGGAGGAATCTTGGGCTCCCCTCAGTTTTGGAGATGACTGTGTCAATTTTCTCCCTTTGCAGAGTTTGTAAGCTTTGGAAGGTGCTCGCTGAATATTCTGCACTATGGTGATATGTACCTGATACCTTACAGGGTATGTATGGACTCTATTTGGGAAAATGCTTGAGAGACTTTGTGGTATACCTAGGATGGCAGTTCTCACACAGAAGCCACCCTGGGCTCCTTGAGGATTTATAGATGATGGTTCAGTCAAGTTCTGATATTATCCAAGGGCCTGAACATCATTCAAGGGCCCTGAACATCATATTGCACTTCCTGATTCAATTGAAGGCAGTTGATTTTGGTCCCTTGATTGTCAGACTGTTTGGCTCTTGCAGGGAGAGGCCCCTGTTATAAGGCATCTCTTTAGGAGATACATGGGATCAAGGTTCCAGTGTGGGAGGCTACCTGATCTGAGGCATAAATATTTCAAAATTCCTACTTTAATTAAGGAAGTTTGCAAGAAGATGTATTTATTGCAGTGACTCATAGTGTTCCAAATGTGAGCACTTTACACTCATTAACCCATTTTTACCTCTCAACGATCCTACGAAGGAGTATGGGCCATCTCTCCATTCGTGCATCACCAGCATGTGGGGAAGCTGGGGCCCTGGCAGGCTGTGTCTGTAGCCTGGGCCCTTAACCTCTGGGCATTCAACTTCAGGAGAAATTAGTTTAGCATTCTTTTGTCCTTAAGGCACTCATACTCCGTGATGATAATGATGATGGTGACGGCGACGATGATGATGATGACAATTACTAAAAAAAAATCAGATGCTTGTACTTAAAATTAATGGTATATTGCAATATTTTTTTTCAAAAACAGTTTGATCTTTTATATCTCTTTATCTCCATATATCTTAAGATATGTTCTTAGTCTTTCAAACGTTTAATATTTTCAAAAACAGTTAAAGCATATCTTATTTACAGTAAAATCAATCGTGAAGCTAAACCATTTATTCTATGAAGCCCTAATATTTTGAAACTCATAGGGTTTTACTGTCCTTAATCATTAACTAAATCTGACTTGAAGAGAACTACAGTGAACTCTGTTTTTATTCCTTGGTGGTAAAATATGCACAATTGAGATACCTGGAAAATATGTCCTTTGTATGTATATTTTAAGCACAAATGTTTCTACTTAGAGTCACCTTGATGCACACAGCCTGAAAGATTTAAATAGATTACAGATTCTCTCAAAGAGCAGATCTCTTGCTTTTGCTTTCTACAGTATTGCCCATAACAACCAACATCCACAAAATAGTGAGACTTTTCAGAAAAGAGATGAGGGTTGCTTTTGAGACTTTTAGAAGGATGAAGAATTAAAGAGCATAATCTTTTGGTGAAATAAGAGACAAACAGATTATTGAAACACAGTGGGTAGCCCAGAAATACACCCACACAAATACAGTCTTTGTGTGGATATATTTGATATTTTGCAAAGAAGCAAAACAATACAGTGGAGAAAAAAAGTCTTCAAAAGGGGAAGGTAACAACTGGAAATCCACATTAAAAAAAAAAAAAAAAAGAATCTAGACATAGACCATACACCCTTTTCAAAAGTTACCTGAAAAAATACAGTAGACTTAATTGTAAAACACAAAACTATAAAACTTTTAGAAGAAAACATAGGAGAAAAATTTAGATGACTTTGGGTTTGGTAGTAACTTTTTAGATCAATACCAAAGATATGGTCCATGAAAGAAGTAATCGATAACCTGGGCTTGATTAAAATGAAAAGCTTCTGCTCTGTTAAAAACACTGTTAAGAAAATAAGAATACAAGCCAGAAGCTGAAAGAAAATATTTGCAAAACACATTTGATAAAGGACTATTATCTACAATTTATAAAATACTCTTAAAACTCAACAACAAGAAAATGAACAACCCCATGAAAAATGACAAAAGATCTGAACAGGCACCTCACCAAAGAAGATACACAGATCGGAAATAAGCATATGAAAAGATGCTCAACATATGTCATTAGAGATTTGCAAATTAAAACAAAAATGAGATATCACTCCTTGTCTATTAGAAAATCAAAAATACTGAGAACACCAGATAATGGTGAGGAGCAGCAGGAACCCTCATTCCTTTTTGGTAGGATTGCAAACCGTTGCAGCCACTCTGAAAGACAGTTTAGAAGTTTTTTACAAAATTAAACATTCTTATCATATGATCCATCAATCGTGCTTCTTGCTATTTATCCAGCTGAGTTGGAAAATATATGCCCACACAAAAACCTGAACATGAATGTTTTATTAGTAGCTTTACTCATAATTGTCAAAACTTGGAAGCAACCAAGGTGTTCTTAAGTAATATAATGGGTAAATAAATTGTGGTATATCCAAACAATAGAATTTTATTCAGCAGTAAAAAGAAATGAGCTATCAAGCCTTGAAGACACATAGAGGAACTTTAAATGCATATGACTAAGTAAAAGAAGCCAATCTGAAAAGATTGCATATTGTTTGATTCCAACTATATGACATTCTGGAAAAATCAAACCTATGAAGACAGTAAAAAGATCAGTGGTTGTCAGGGTTTGAGTCAGAGGAGAGATGAATAGGCATAGCACAGAGGTTCTTTAGGGCGGTGAGTCTATTCTGTACAATACTTGACATTATACATTTTCCAAAACTCATAGAATGTACAACACCAAGAGTGAACACTAATGTAAACTATGAACTTCGGGTAATAATGCTGTGTCAATGTAGGTTCATTAACTGTTAGAAAAGTACCACTCTGGTGGTGGATGTTACAGTGAGGAAGGCTGTTTATTTGTGTGGACAGGTGGTATTTAGGAACTGTACTTTCCCCCCAATTTTGCTTTGAACCTAAAATGACTCAAAAATAAAGTGTTTTTAGAAAAAGAAAGAACATTATCTGTTTTTCTTCATTACATCTGTATGAATAACCTAGTTAGTATTTTGTTAAAAAAGGCCTGCCTTGATTAATTTTATATTGACTGGCATCCAGATTAATCAGAGTATATGTTTTGATTTATATGATTGATGAGGCTATCAATTGCTTATAAAGATAGATCTCCATCAAGAGTGTGATTTATCTAGAGAGAAGAAGCTCTGAGATCTTTTGTATGGTGACTGCATCAATGAAGAGTGACTTCATTGGCTTTTCCATCTATTTGGGTTTTGTAAGTACTGGAGAGAATTTTTACTAGGAAGGATAGACACTTTTATTTCAAAAAGGTTTACAACCAGAAAATAATTGTTTGACTGCAGGCATTAGGGAGCAGGCAGCCTGAGGGTAGATTCCCTTACTGTGAACATAGAATTTCTCTGTATTTATCATATGTATTGTGGTCAGAGGGAAACTTGCCTGATTTTACCATTCAAAGGTTGATTTTCCTGCATTTAGATCATCAGTATAAGATAGATAGATGATAGATAGATAGATAGATAGATAGATAGATAGATAGATAGATAGATAAATAGATAGATAGATAGAGATAGATACATAGATGTATACATACATATATACAAATTAGGTGAGCAGCCTGAAAGAATAGTAGAGTTCATTTATGTCAAAGCAGAGGGGAAGGAAAAGGCTAACTTTGATTGGAGTTCAGTGAAAGTATCTCTCTGTAATTGAGATTTCAACTAAAATGGAAGTAAAATGTATGTGGGGTGGGAAGTTTGTATATGGGGATTAAGTTTGTATAGGTGGAAATGAAGGTTAATAATAGTGCCCAGTGTAGAGAGGTAATAGCAATGTGTTTGTTGGTTCAGTAAGGTCACAGTGGTCCCCAACCTTTTTGACACCAGGACCCGTGCTTCTATGAGAACGTAATGCCTGATGATCTCAGGTGGAGCTGAGGCGGTGACTAGCTAGTACTGGGGAGCAGCTGCAAATACAGATCAAGCTTTCCTTGCTCCCCCGCTGCTCACCTCTTGCTGTGCAGCCCAGTTCCTAACAGGCCATGGACTGGTACTGGTCCACAGTTGGGGGGTTGGGGACCCCTGATGTAAAATACTCAGATGTCTCATGGAGCCATTAACTAAAGTTGGAGAATAGAAGAAGAGTGATTTTTATATTTGGAGGGATGGGGGTGTTGTCCTGAGAAATATTACATTTTAAGTGTAAGTCTGCAAGCAGAGATTATAGCTCAAAAATGGAATCCAGACAATAAATTGGTCACTTTCATTTTAGAGATAGCAATAAAAGAAATGGAAGCAGTTGCATAAATGTGTGAGACTGCCAAGATACTATATATATATAATTTTTTCTTTTTAAAGGGAGTCTTGAGACATTACAGTAGTATTGAGGAGTTCTTTGCAGAGGGCATGGGAGAAGAACTGGTTATAGAGGTGATGCTCAGGTAAAAGCTAGTTGTAGTATGTAATTCTTAAGGAATTTGAGCATAGGAGACAGAGCAAAATTAAAATTACAGATGTATCATTTTTTTAGCTGTGTGACTTATATTATTAGTTTTTTGAACCTCTTCTGGTTATGTCATTTGTTAAATTGGTAAATAAACTATAATCAATAGGTTTTCTGTGAGGATTAAATAGATGAATATATGTAAATATCCGAACACAGAGTCACATTTGATACAAATTTATTTATTTTTGTTGTTTTCTAGACCTCAGTTACAAATGGATGAGTTAATTCAACTTTTATGACATTTTCATCTTTCCATGAAATACTTTTGATTATTATTGGTATTTCAGAGGAGAATTTACAGTTTATAAATGTTTTCTCTATGTGTCTCTCACATACATCTTTGTGTGTATTACATATATATGCACACTCATAATACATACTTGTGTGTTTGTGTCTAATGAAATTCAGGGATACTGTGCCTAATGAAGATTAATATAAAATAGGATATCAAGAATTTTAGCTACCACCTTGTGAAAATATGAGATGGATCACTAGAATTCCTCCTAAACCCCAGCCATTCTGTGTTTTCTGGACATCCTTGACTTAGAGGATTGAGGCAGTACATGACATTAACATTATGACTCATGTATGTGCTCCTGCTACTTTCTGATGCAGGGGATTTTTAGAGACTAGACTGGGTGCCAATGACCTCTCCAAATGGAGTGAGTCGTTAAATTAATTAGCTCTCATCATAAAATAGATCCTTGGTTTCTTGATGCCCAAGGAGACTTGTGAGCAGAAAAACTGTGAAGGTCCAGATGGCTCTATGGATGATGGAGAACCAGTGCTAGTGCATAAGGCAAGAATAATGAAATCTGAGAAATTCCCACAGTATTTATCTATAAGTAGAAACCAAAATCTCCACGTGGCATGAGTTAGGGATCACTATGCTTTGGAATCAGGAAAGGAATCAAATAACTGGATGCCATGGCCTGTTTAACATACAAAACTCAATACTTTCAATGTTCTTATCACATATCTGTATTTCTATGTTTTTTATTATCAACTATAGTCATAATCTTTCTTTTGACTCTGGAGAAAGAGGAGAGTCCTCTGTGCATTTCCCGTAGAGTATATTGCATGTTTGTTGATTATACTGGGAGTCTCAGCCAGGTGTACATTGGGGATTCATAATAGCAGGGTCTGGAAATTTTGCACGAGACCGGGGTCTCATGACTTCTTTCTCTATCCCCAGCTTTGCCTGCTTAATGTTTGGACTGTCTGTGAGAGAAAACCCAGAGAAAGACAGCTGGCAACTGAATTATTGACAATGCAGCCATTGGTGAGTAGGGAATGCCTCTTTCTACTGAAATTACATCACTATTGACAGTGTTGGGCAGGTTTCTCCTACTGGCATCAATGTTCTAAGTTCAGTCAGGAAGTATTCAAGGATCTGAGCTCCAGTGAAATACTTCCAGTATTATGAGATGGATATAGTAGGTCTCCTCAATAGCTAATATTCTTCCTAACATCATACTAATTTATTCCAGCAGGTGTGCATTTACAGAAGAGATAAGTTTTCTTTCTCTCCAATTCAGTCTGTGACCTCACTAGGAAATAATTCATTCATTAATCATGTTATTGGCTATAATGGTGTGAGGGTTGTGGTGAATAGAAATGAGCAAGGAGCAGAACATTACAGTCCATTAGGGAGGCAATGGTTTTATCAGGTAAAGGCAGTTAATTCAGTGTTACAGGTCCTGGGTGAGGGCTGTGACATGTTGAAGGGAGCATAGGAGGTTTAAACTAGAGGAAGCATGAGGAATCATTCATTTATTTTTTTCCATTTTTAAATTTAAAGTTTTGATAGAGTATATTTGTACTTTTGGAAACTTCTTAAAGAGATCATTAAAATTGTTGTTCTTGTCCCAATCACACATTTTACCTTTTTGTTATTCATCTTTTATTTCATATTTGGTAACTGGAGTTAATGAATAGGGAGTATTTTTTCCTTAATTTTGTTTGCACATGAAGGAGAGGGATATAGTAGAGTAAAATTTAAGACCTGTGCAAATTTTTGAAGAACTAGATAGACCAAAACCAATCAAGATTGTTTTTTAAGCTGTTACCATGGAGACAAGATAAAGCTACAAGAGAGATGGCAATGACTGGTGTTTGAGGTCCCAGAGAAAAACAGAGTGGGAGGCCTTATCTCACAGGAATGGTCAGGCTAGGACTGTCCTTCATCAGTACAGCCCTTTCAGAGGGCCCTGGCTTGTGCTGCTGATCCATCTGACCTTATAGTGTTATGAACACCTGTGTCCTGTAGCATTAAGACAGACAGTACCTACTAGTAGATCTTCAGTTTTGATGAATGCTGGAAATTGTTTCAAGGGTCTTGGACACTTTAGTGAGTAATAAGCTAATGGCTTGTATTTAATACATGTTTACCTAGATAGGATAAACTTTATATATTAGTTCATTTGATCTTTCAACTAATAAAACGTTATTAAACCATTTCATAGACAAGAAATCTGAAATTCATCTAGGTCAATGATATAACCATAGTCATGGTTTAAAAGTGGCAAATCATGGTTATTGTGTGCCTTAATGATAAGTCTGGAAAGTTACTTGACATTAATTAGGAAGAGAGTTTTAGTTATGAGTCTTTAAAGGCAATTTTTATACTCATGTGTCTAGAAGTGATAATTACCAGTTTGTTGGAAAATTTCCAGGTTATATTATACCATATTTCATATAATATTTATTTAGAGTAAAAGTTTATTAATTCAGACCGTGTATATCTCTGTGATGTATCTGAAAGGCACATTCCAGCTTAGCTCTGAGAATGAACTGATGAGAACTGATGAGACTCAGTTTGATCTTTCTATATACCCAGCTTCTCCACTTCTTTTTTCAATGTTGTCATCTCAACCCTCCCACTGTGGACATTGGCAGGAATTTCTCTGTCTAAACCAGAATATTCATGATGTTTTAGGAATCAGTGATGTTTGAAGATGTAGCTATAGACTTCACTCAGGAAGAGTGGGCCCTGCTGGACACATCCCAGAGAAAACTGTTCAGAGATGTGATGCTGGAAACTATTAGTCATCTGGTCTCCCTGGGTGAGTCTGTCCACTTTTATGTATGTGTATAGATAATTGGTGGGTATGTAGGTCTTCATTTATTTATTAAATCAACAAGTATCTGGAATACACCCACTGTTTTCTACCCTGATTCTTACACACACCCACTCTACTCTCTAACCTGATTCTTTCATAGATCTTATAACTACATGAAAGAGAGTTGCTCTTTTCATTTATTTACACTTAGTTTGTTACCCCCACTAGAATGTAATCTTGATGACAATTTCATGTCTCTAATACTCAGAACAGAACTGGAAATTCAGTAAATATTTTTTGCATGCATAAGTAAATTGATAAAATATTTTCTAAATAATTATTCTGTTCTAATCACTATGCTAAACCTTGAGACCAGAGTTAAACTAACAAAACTTGATTATTCTTATGGAACTAATGATTATTGGCATCTGTTTGAAAATAATATTCAACCCACTGTGGCGACATTTAATTTCTCCATCTTTGAAAAGACTGAGGATTCCTCATTCTGACTTTGAACATGGGCATGGACATCAGGATCCAGAGGTCCTCACTATTTTAGACACATTATCTGGATTTCTTTTCATTCTGGTGAAGGATCTTCAGTGTTTTCTTTGTTCAAGGTGTTGTTGCCTGGACTGACCATCAGTGTTCTTATTCTTCCTCAGTAGCCTGTTCTGGACTTGATTATAATGCACATATTAGGACGTCTCAAAATCCATGTACCTTTTTTTCCATGAATAGGGTATCATCATGCGATTTTCCAGTTGGAGCAAGGAGAAGAACTGTGGAGTGAAGGAATTGGATTTCTCCAAAGCCAGAGTTCAGGTGAGGATGAGTGCTTCAATATGAGGAGGTGCCTGGTCAGTGAACAACTATATCCTTAAGAATTCCAAGTGAAGATTTTGTTAAGTAAGTGATATTTTCTAAATTATAGATGAAGGACATTGAAGCATAATTCTTTAGATGTCATTATTCCTTCCATATGTCAATCATAATTCATGTGTCCCTTTGCTATTGGCTTTAGGGAGAAGGATATTCATATACTTACTGAAGTTAAACGTTCACATAATAACTCTTGTCCTAATCCTCCCCTTGGAAGATTTTCCCTCTCTTTACCTACCCATTGTCTCATCTCCATTTTACTTTGTTCACATTTCAGTCCTGAAAATCTTATTAATTGTCAGTGCCCTATAATGTTGTTTCTACTTCCTAGAGTATTCCCCATCAAAATGCTAATTTTTGAGACATACACAGATAGGTCTTGGTGCTTTTCAGCATTTTATTCCCCTAATGCTGTTTAATTTTTTTTTTCCGATTATTTTAGGCAGGGAAAGTGCCATTAAAAAACAAGAAATAATAGCCACACAACAAATCAGCACGAAGGACACATTTATAATCATACCAATGGTAAGTTTCATGGGTGTTGACCCTGGTCATCCAAATTAAATACCTGGCAATGGGATGTTAGTAATTGAGCACAGCAGCCTGATTTATGTTAAACTCTTATTCTTTCTCTGAGCAAAAAGTTTTGGGTAGTTTGAATTAAGTGAAGGAATTAGCCTGAGGTCAAAACTATATCTTGAGATCTTAATAAAAAGATGCAATATTTAATTGCATGAACATTGTTCGTATGCCTAGTCTTTGAAACATATTGAATTCTTCAAAATTAATCTATAAGCTTTGCAGTTGGGAAGCTACAAAAGAGAAAACCTTTATATATGGAGGGAAGTAACACCATGTGTATACAGATAACATTGGAAAAATTTTAATTGGAGACTATCACTGAAAGATTAATATAAGACTCATATGTAGAGAACAAATGTATGAACTAATGTGGCCAAACTGTTAACAGACTTTCATCTCTTTCCCCAAAACAGAAATCTCACATTCCAGAGGATCCCTATGAATATAATGATTTGGGAGGAGATTTCACTCATAGCTCTACAATAACTCAAAATTTGTTAACTCACATGGAAAAGAAACCCTTTATCAGCAAACAGTGTCAAAATTCCCTTAGTGACCTGTCATACCTTAAACAACATAAGCAGACTTACACTAGAGGTAAATCATATGAGTGCCATCTGTGTGGGAAAGCCTTTATGAATAGCTCTACCCTTAGACGACATGAGATGACTCACACTGGAGAGAGACCGTATGAATGCCGTATCTGTGGGAATGCCTTTATTCAAAGCTCCGACCTTAGAAAACACAGTCTAACTCACACTGGAGAGAAACCGTATGAATGTCATCTATGTGGGAAAGCCTTCACTCAGTCCTCTAACCTCAGACAGCATGAGAGAACACACACTGGAGAACAACCATATGAATGTCTTCTATGTGGGAAAGCCTTCAATAAATGTTCTGCTCTTAGACGACATGAGATAACTCACACTGGAGAAAAACCGTATCGATGTCAGCTATGTGGAAAAGCCTTCAGTCAGTGTTCTGCCCTTAGACGACATGAAGGAACCCACAATGGAAAGAAAATCATGAATTCCTTTAGTAAATATTCTGACCTTAGATGACAAGGTATACATGCAACGAATGTGGAAAAAACATCAATCATAGCTTTAACATTTAAACACAGCAAGAGGACTCACACATTGAAGAAACACTGTCTGTAATCAGTGTGGAAGATCCTGCAGTCATCCATACTCATTTGACATATGCAGGTTTATATAGAAGAGAATTGTTACGTATGACATCCATGTGGCAAAACCTTCAGTCAGAGGTCTGGCCATAGATGACATATAGAACTCACACTGGAAATATAAGGAATGCAGAAGTCTTCAGCAACAGCTTTGAACTTTAAGTACACAAGAGAAATCGCATGAGGATAACTCCTTGATCTGTAATCAGTGTGGGAATGCTTTCATTTATAATTCATGGCTAAACAACATGAGCAAACTCCACTTAGGAGAACCTTTAGGTTTGTAATCACTGTGAACAAGTATTCAGCCAAGCACAAGGCATGGTGTGCATGAGAAAACTCAGTGAAGGAATAACCATTAAAACAGGATGTAAGAGAATAAAACCTTTTGAAGAATATCAAATAATTCATTCTCGAGAAGTGATTCAATTAAAAATTATGAGAAATCCTTTATTCATTGAGAATACTTGTGGCACATGTGCTGATTCAGATGGTACAAAATACTCTTAGGTGTCATGAAAGAAGGAAAGTCTTCAGTGCTTATTTATTCATTTTATAGTCAGCGTTACAGTTCTCACAGTGAGAAGCTAGCAGTCCTAAAATCGAAGTGGAGAAACCTTCAAATTTCACATCAGGAAAGAGTCTAGGGAGAAAGAACCCTCTAAGAGAGCCTTTAACATACTTTTAGCAAATAATTCAGAATTTTGAGAAAATAACTATTCACCAGAAAAATGTGGCATATAAATGCAAAATAGAGTGATCTGGAAATACTGAATGCAGAATTTTATAGAAAAATAGATTACTTTTTTATAGATTATTGTAAATATTTAAACAATAAACCCTGTTCCTTAAAAATCTATTGTGTTGGTGAAGTTTTCGTTTTCTTTGTGCAGTTGTAAACACACACATTTGAGTCTCCATTCTTTGGCATGTATGTTAAATTTAGCCTCTCTGAGTCTTCCCTTTCTCCAACAGCTTCTTCCACACTGCTTAGCCCCACTCGTTCCCATCAGTATCACCCGTTTCCATCTGTGCTCTGGTGGTGACACAATAGAGACCTTCACCTCACTTGACCAGTTTCTTAGTGTGCTATGACCCCGGGTCATAGAGGCAGTATCATGGACATCTAGTGTAAACCATTGGATAGTCTTTAGCTCTGCCCCTGGGAATCTCTGTGGGGCCAGAGACAGGCAGCTTTGTTTTTCCAGGCCAAGAACGCTCCTTGGATTTTTTTCCATAATTTTGACCTGAACTAAGTTGGGGAACGAGTTCATCCCATGACCCCATCTCACATCTTATTCAGGTGAGGCCTGAATTACGCACCTGCTTGTTTCCCAAACTAAGCCACTGCTGTGCTTCCTTCACAGCAGCCCTGAAAAAACTAATAAGATAAAATCCCCTAACCTCACAAAGGAGACTTCCCTTGCTTTACCCCAGGGCTTGGAAGTATATTACCCTTCAAACCGCAATATTGAACCTAAATCTCAAGGGGAAATGCTCTCAAGAGATAACTCAGCTGATTTGTGCTCTTAAACTGGTACAATCTCCAAATTAGGTTGAGACTAATTGAATGAACACATCTCTGGGTGAAACTGAAATGTCATTTAAAAAAAAAATCCACAAATGATTCTACTGTGCAGGCAAGATGGAAACAGTCAAGTCGTGTGAGGATGATGAGCAACCAAAATTCAGCATCTTGGCACCCTCATTGTACAGGCAGGGGTTGTGATCAGGCAGGGACATGTGGAAGTGTGAACAAAGATTAGAGAACAAATTAGTGATTAGAAGTTCACACCTTGGAGACAGACCCCATGTGTTCTCATTTCTACTGTCACAGCCCATGAGACCTTGTTACAGAACTTCCTGTGACTCAGTTTCCTAAATTCTAAGGTCAAAGTAGCTTAATTCCTTTATCTTAGAGTTATGAGTACTAATTTGTTGATACTGTATACATCAAATTATTACAGCTAGTAGGTACCTCGTGTTTGCAAATAAAGAATATTTTACAAATTAAATTGATACGGGTACACCACTCTTCATCTAACTTTTATATTTAAATATTTTCTAATCACTTTCTAAAAATCTGGTCATATTGTTATTACATTTAATCTGCTTAAGACAATATATAACTTACGCCAAGCTGTAGTTGATGTTAGCTGTGATCCTGAGGAGTCACACCCTCTTCCTAATGTGTCTCCAGGAGAGAAGGCAGGTCCTGCTGCCCACTGTGGGCCATTCCTGTCCTGGTGCTGGGACTCCCCAGGACATACACATTGCTTTCCCAGAGAAGCTCACATGCCAATGGGATTTATCTCCACTGACGTATGTATGTAAGTATGTTGAGCAATTGTAGTCAGATCATTGGACTTCGGGGTAGATAAAGGATAATTACATGACTACAAGGTGACAGAACCACACAACTAGCTTGATTTGAGCAGCACATTGATAACTTGCCTGTGAAGGGAAGTCCCTCACAGGATGACTCCTCCTAGAGGCAACAGTGTGGGGCCACCATTCAGAAGGAATGTAGAGCAAGGGAACTTCTAGCGAAGGATGCTTCACTGTCCTGATGAATTCAGCCACAAAATGGGCATCTGAGTCAGAGAACTACAAAGAGCTAGCAGCAGCTTAGAGACATATAGTCCTAGCAGATGGCAGGTGCTTTTTCACAGGGTGTGCAGAGCAGGCAAGCTCTAAATGGTTAAAATAATGCTAATTCAAGCTATGTTTAAAACAATTCAGTGTGTAAAAGTTTGAGTTTTGTTCTGGTGGGCTTTTGAGCTAATATGCCTAGTCTGCTGGGAAGAAGTAAACACACAGGCCTCATACCTAATACAATCAGAAGCATGCTTGCAAAGTTGGAGGGAAATTACCCAGCCTTTTTTTTTTTTTTTAAATATTTTGTATTCTAATTGCTTGATTCTATATTCTTGGTTCTAGTTTGCTGTCAGTAATTGTTCAGATAACTGAGATACCCTTCATGCTGAACCTATGTCGTGAGTTCTTGCCTCTGTGAAAATGAAATAGTAGGTATCATTTTCAAGGTACAGAGTGACCTATAGTATCTCTAAAGGTTACACCTAATTTAGAATGTTATTTGAAATACAGCAACCCAATTTACACTCTGCTTTTATTTTAAAATTCCCTCGTTTTCAAATAATAACAATTTTTTGAAGGTTTGGATGATTTGGAGGAGAAAGGAAGAATTAACCTAAAGAAGGTTAAAAATAAGAAGAGACAAATTGGAGTATATGTTTTTGTTTTCTTCCCATAGAATTTTTTAAATGTACTGTAAACATAAATGTAATAAAAAACATTTAGTTATTAATAATGATCATGGGTTATCACATTAAAACCCAGGAGTATGGGAATTTCATATAAATTGAATCAAATAATATGTATCTTGTCTAGCTTCTTTCACTTAATGTTTTCAAGGTTCATCAGTATACGAACATGTATCACTTCATACTTTTTAAGAGCCAAATAATATTCCATTGTATGGACATAGCACATTTTGTTTATTCTTTCATTTATTTATGGACATTTGGGTTGTTTCCACTTTTTGGCTAAAAGTGCTGATAAGAACAATTATGTATATATTTTTGTACGAACATGCACTTTTGGTTATGATCAGATCAGTAGAAATGGAATTGCTGAGTATATGATATCTCTATGTCTATCATTTTGAAGGACTGTCAAGCTGCTTTTCAAAATAGTGCACCATTTTACATTCCTACTTGCAATGTATGATAGTCCCAATTTTTCCACATTCTCTCAAACACTTACCATCTGTCTTTATGCTAGTTATCCTAGTGACAGTGAAGTGGTACCACACTGCAGTTTTCATTTGCGTTTCCCTAATGACTAATGATTTTGAGCATCTTTTTGTGTTCTCATTGTTATATCTTTTTTGGAGAAGTAGCTATTCAAATTTTTGCCTGTTTTTAATTTGGATTATTATTTTCTTTGATTTTTGAGTTGTAAAAATTCTTTACATATTCTACATACTAGACTCTCTTCAGATATATGATTTGCAGTTACCATCATGTGGGCTGCCTTTCAGCTTTTTTGTTAGTGTCCAAATATTTTAATTTTGATAAAGTCTGATTTATTAATTTTTTCTTTGGTTTCATATGCTTTTGGAGCCATATCTGAGAAACCATTGCTTAATTCAAGGACACAAATATTTACATCTTTTTCTCCTAAGAGTTTTGGAATATTAGTTTTTATACTTAGGTATTTTATTCATTAAAATTTTTTTTTGGTATATGATGTTAGGTAGGGGTACAGCTTCTCCCTTTTGCATGTGGATGCCCCATTGCTACAGTACCATTTGTTAAAAAGACATTATATTTCCCATCGAATGTTATTAAAACCCTTGTCAAACATAAACTGTAAATATGAGGATTTATTTCTAAACTCTCAATTTTATTTCTATTGATCTATAAGTCTATTCCTATGCCAGTACCACAGAGTCTTGATTAAGGTAGCTTTGTAGTAAGATCTGAAACTGGGAAGTGTGAGTACTCAGTTTATTTTTTCTTTCAAGGTTGTTTTGTTTATTCCTTGCATTTCCATGTGAAATTTACAGTCAGCTTGTCAACCTCTCCCATAATGCCACCTGGGATTTTGTTAAAAGACTGCATTGAATCCATAGATCAATTTGGAAGTATTGTTATCTTACTATTAAGTCTTTCAATTCATTTCACTTTTAGGTAGAAAATTTAGTTATTTCCTTTTCTTAGGACATCTTTCATTTTCCACATACAAATGGCCAACAGACATATGAAAAGATGCTCATCTTCACTAGCTATAGATAAATACAAATCAAAATCACAATGAGATACCACCTCACACCTGTAAGAATGGCTATATTAACAGGACAAGTAATAACAACTGTTGAAGAGGTTCTGAGGAAAAAGGAATCTTCATACACTGCTGGTGAGAATATAAATTAGTACAGTCACTGTGGAAAACAGTATGAAGCGTCCTTAAAAAATTAAGAACAGAATTACTACATGACCCAGCAATCCCTCTTCTGGATATCTATCTCTCAAAATGGAAAACATTTATCCTTAAAGATACATTCACCCCAATGTTCCTCGCAGTATTATTCATGGTAGCCAAGGCATGGAAACAACTGAAGCGTCCTTCGATGGATGATTGGATAAAGAAGATGTAGTAAACATATACAATGGAATATTACTCAGTAATAAGAAAAGGTGAAATGCTGCCATTGTGACAACATGGATGGATCTTGAGATTATAATGCTAAGCGAAATAAGTCAGACAGAAAAAGTTGAGAACCATATGATTTCGCTCATGTGGGATGTAAAACTGAAAGCAACAAACGAACAAAACAAACAAAAACTCTAGACATAGACATCCATTCAGTGGTTAGCAGAGGGAAAGGTGGGAGGGGGGAGGTAGATAAGGGTAAAGGGGGTCAAATATATGGTGACAGAAGGAAATTTAACTTTGGGTGGACACAAAGCAATATACATATGACTTATGATTAATTGTACACTTGAAATCTATATAACTTTATTAACGAGTTACACCCCAATAAACATAATTAAAAATTTTTTTCCAACTAAAAAATGTTTTGTAGTTTTTAGTGTACAATTTAATATTTATGTTAAATATATTCTGAAGTATTTCTTTCTTTTTGGTACTAATGTAAATGCAATTGTTTAATTAGTCACTCTCCAGGATCCAATCCTGAATTACACATTGCTTTTAGTTGTCATCTTTTGCTGGTTCCTGTATCCTAGAACAGTTTTCAGTCATTGTTTTTCATGAAATTGCCATTTTTGTAGAGTATGAGCCAGCCCTTTACTGTAATCCCCCTAAATGATG